ATTGTTTAAAAAAAAACAAAAAGGAAATTTGTGAAGTCATCACTTTTGATACGACAGCAGGTATGAAAACCCTGCACCTTTTGTGAAATATTCTGTCTTTTATCTTGTATTGAAAATACTGCTTTTTAAATGGGTGCAGGATTGCTTTAAGAAAGTATATCCATCGACTCTAATATGATTCAAGAAGAAGCAAAGTCATTATATGACAACTTAAAAGGAAGGTGAAGCATCTAAAGATGGAGAATTTTATGCCAGCAAAGGATGATGTAATAATTTTAGAAAGAAGTTTTGCTTAAGATATGTCAAGATAATAGGAGAAGCAGCTTCTGCCTACCAAGCAGCAGCAGACAAGCTCCCAGACACCATTGAAAAAATCATGGAGGAGAATGGATATCTGTTTGAACAAGTTTTTAATACAGATGAAAGTGCCCTACTCTGGGGGGGGAAAAATGCCGCAAAGAACATATATTAGCAAGGAAGAGTAGCAAGCACCACAATTTAAGGCAGATGGGAATAGGCTAGCTCTGCTGTTGTGTGCAATTACGGTTGGGTTTATGATCAGGACTGCCCTTACCAATAAAGTTGCTTTTAAACCCTGAGTTTTGAAGGGAAAGCATAAATACCAGCTGCCAGTCTTCGGATGTACAATAAGAAAGCTTGGAAAATGAGAACCCTTTTTCTGGATTGGTTCCGTTGATGCTTTGTCTCTGAAGCCAGGAAGAACCTTGCTAGTAAGGGACTGCCTTTTAAAACTCTATTGATTTTGAGCAATACCCCAGGCCACCCATAGCCCAGTGAGTTCAACACCAAAGGCTCATTACACAGAATACTTTTCTATGAAAAGGATTGTCAGTGATACGGAAGAGAACCCTTATAGAACATCATCAAAGTCTAGAAGGATTACATTATTGAAAATGATAAGTGTCATCACAGGGTGTTTGAAGGGAATACTCTCAACACTTGAGCTCAATATAAAAGCAACACAAGTTGGTTAAAAAATTAGTATAGTAGAACAGTATGTACTATAGTTAATTTTATGCAGTTATTATTTAATATTGCACCTTTATGTTTGTTACCTTTCTCTGGACTGCATATGGCAGTATGTAAGGTCTGTTTGTGTGTATTAATTTTCATAAATGTTAACTTTTAATAATATATTTCTGTGTATTTTATGGTTGCAAATGATACAAATAGACTAGTGTTTTATACATTCATGCCATCCCTAGCTTTTTCTTAATTTTTCAACATTTCCAAGCTATGTGGTTTGTCTGCAGTTTTTTTCAAATTGTTACAAATCTTGAAAACAAAATTTCCAAAATTTTTTTTGAAAAAAATTTATGTATGTGTGGACCCACACAGTTCAAACCCATGTTGTTCAGCTCTCAAAGCCTTGAAAAGGTTTGTACTCTTTGACCTCATGATTTCTTGTAGGACTGTATTTTAAAGAAATAATAAAAAATGTCAGGAAAGGTGCAAGGATATTCATTATTTGTAGTATAGCATTACTTACAATAAGATGATGAAATCAGCCTTTTGTGTAAAGGTCTGTAATTGAGTTTGAATTCTATGTCAAATGGCTCCTTTGAGTGGTTTGATAAGTTTAATTTGATACACACTTTGATTATAGCATTAATATAAATTTTGTAATTGTAGTAATTGGTTAAAAATAGATTCAGTTATTTAGGGATTTAATGTTAGGAATTTTATCCCAAAATATGGCATCTTTATGTAGTTGTGTTTGTATGCTGTGATTTTAGAAAGAACAGAAATGTTTCTAGTAGTTCGATGTATTCAATTTCCTTGTCATAGTACCATTTTTGTGTGGATATAATTTTTACTGCTAAATGCTTTCTTTTTTTTTTCCAGGGAAATAATGTAAAATGATCATATAGCTAGGCTAATTGAATATCCAGAAATTTTTATTTTTGCTATAAAATTGCTTTTATAATTTCATTATTTTCTGTCAGAAATTTTAAGTTTGAAAGATATGCTCTAATTTTAAGATTCAAAAAGGCAGTTTTTCTCTCCAGAGTGTTTACTGCTTATCTACTATGTGGAAATAATTGTCGTCTCCCCCCGCCACCTGTATTCCCTGTCATAATTGCTCAAGGCAGAAACCTGGAATCTTAGTACTTCTGCCGACTTCGGTTTTAGCTTACATCACGAGTCTAGTTCTTGACGAAGTCCTGTCTGCCTCCAGAATATCTTGAATCTATCATTTTTTTCAATGATAATGCCCTAGTTGAAGGAACATTACCTTTTTCTGACAGTACCCTAGTTGAGGGAACATCACTTTTTTCTTGAAGGACCATAGTATCATCTTAACTATTTCCTCAATCTTCCCCTGACTCAATTTATTCCTTTTGTTTGTTTGGTTGGTTGGTTTTGGTTTCTAGTTTAAGGTCTTATTGAAGATATGCATGTACCATGTTTAAGGAGTTAAATTTTCATAAGAGAGCAAAATACAGCAGAACTGTAATTCAGTTATTCTCATCTTTCCAACCTCCATCCTGGAGCCTCATTACCACCCAGATCTCTTAGCTGTTTCTCCTTAGAGGAATTTATGTCTGTTTTTCAAATAATATCTCTAAATTCTTATTTTTCCTTGATTGTTTATTTCAAATATGATATGTTGACTCTTTACTATAGAAGATGATTTCATTCTCTTATATTCTGCCCTCCCATTTACACAATTCACTTCACCTTTTGCACATAGTTATGTCACAGTTTTTACTAAGTTAACTATATTCTTTACAATTGAACTGTGATTATTTACTCATTTGTTTTTTTCTTTTTTGAGCTAAAATGTACTTTAGTTTTCTTTGTACCTATCACTAATTTTCTGCCAGAAATGAACGTACTGATTGTCTTTTCCCCCGCCGCCTCCCCTGCTTTTCAGAGACAGATATCTGTTGGAATTTCTGTCCTGTTGCTCCTTTCTTGACTCTTGTTCTTAAAGTCTGCTCATAGGTTTGACCCGGAATCTCCCATTGCTGTTAATCAGAGGATTCCCAATATTTTTCTTTCTGTATTGGCTCCTCAGTTTCCTGGGCCTCATATCTTCCGTTTTTCTTTGTTTGCTAGTTTACTTTGATAAAACACATACTCTGCTAATTCTCTGAGAGTAGGTGTATAGAAGGCAAATTCTCTGAGATGTTCACGTTTGAAAATGTCTGTAGTCTACTTTCTGTAGTCTAGACTTAATTGATATTCATGTTGGATATAGGATTCTAGAAAATTGAATTCTTCAAAATTGAAGACATCACTTCAGTTGTCTTTTAACTTCCAGTGCTGCTGTTAAGATATCTGATAGCTTCTGATCCCTGTTTTTCTGTATATGATCTGTTGTTTTTTTTGTTTTTGTTTTTGAATCTCTGATCAATTTTCTCTGTTCCCTCTTAAAATTCCTGTTATTCAGATGTTGACCCTTAGGGTATTCAAATTAGCTTAAAAACATTTTATTCCTATCATTAACTTTTGTTTAAAAGTTTTAGTCACTTTAGCTCACAACTCTTCTACTGACTTTCAGATTTGTATTATATTTTTTATTTCTAAGAGCTCTGTTTTTTCTCCGAATATTTCTTTTTATATATCCTCCTGCTTTTGCTCAATGGGTACAATGTCTTTTCTCATGTATTGAAAAATAATAATTATATGGTTGTGTCTTCCTCTGTTCTCAGTTTTCTTCGTTCCCTGCCCTAACTCAGCTTCTTCTGTTCTCTGCCCTAACTCTGTTTCCTCAGAGTTCTTTGTCTTATTTCTTGTGGTTTCTCTCTCTCCCTGGCTATTTTTGTATTATAGAAGTTTGTTAACCTATTTTCGACCTTGGACCCATGTGGCAGACTGAAGCCTATGGAACTCTAGCCCTTCTCTAAAATAAAAAGAATTCAGTTCTGTTAAAATATACTTATCAAAATATTTTTAAAAGCTGTTATACAGCAATACATGTGCTTCTTTGTTAATGCATTAAAATCTAGAGGTCAGCCTTAAATATTACCATATCTAGGTGTGATGATCCACGCCTGGAATCCCAGCATTTTAAGAGGCTGAGGCAGGAGGATTGCTTCAGTGTAGGAGTTCAAGACCAGTCTGGCCAACATAGTGAGACCCTGTCTCTACAAAAAAATAAAAACAAAAATAGCTGAGTGTGGTGGTGCACACCTGTAGTCCCAACTACTTGGAAGGCTGAGGTGGAATAATTGCTTAAGCCAGGGAGGTCACAGCTGCAGCATACTGTGATCCCACCAGTATACTTCTGCCTGGGTGACAGAGGAAGACCCTGCCCCTAAAAAAATTAAGTATCTGCCATAAGTTTGAAATACTGATGATTATAAATGGTATCTGAATCAACTGTAATGTGATATGAAAATGTCAGTGATTTTGATTGATAACTACATCACATGTGTTGCCAATACCACTGTCATCTGTAGCCTACCTTTATAACTAAAAGGACTGCCTTATTTCAGTTAGAGGTTAGTGTATAACGAAAATAAATTTTTTTATATCTAAGTTCATGGGCCCTTTGTATTTTATTGACAGGCCCTTTAGGGGATCACGATTCCTTTTATTAAAGGTTTCTTCAAATGTCTGGGGTCCCTGACTGTCGGCTTAAATAGTGAGATGCTGGAAAGCTGATTGGGAGCTCTGGGTGACTGAATAGAGCTTAATAACTAGTAATCTTCACTCTTCGTTGTGGGATGCTCATCTTTATCTATGGATCTTTTCCTCTTGGGATTCAAATCTTTTCAGAGAAGAATCCGCCAGTATTCTGCCTATGGAATGTAAGAGTGCCTATGTTTTCATAGTCATTGTGCTCTCTTATGTCCTGCTAATCAAATTTGCTTTTGTGATTTAACTGAATGGATATAATATTACAAATGTTCCCATTAAATAAAGTGATTCTAGAAAAGAACATAAACTATCTTTAATGTTTTGAAACCCTTAACTGGGCAAGAAAACTGGGCTATTTCTTATATTTAATTTTCACCTTAATTTTCCAGGAGCTTTCAAGTTGTGGATGGAATAAAAAAGAAAAATATAGTTCTGCACCGAATGCAGTTGCCTTCACAAGAAGATTCAATCATGTGAGTTTATAAATTTTAATACTGTGTCTGAAATTCAGTTCTTCACTATATAATTTTTCCTTAAGAAATAATTTAACCTTTCACATCAGTTGTGGAATATATTCAGCCAGTTAGTTATCTCTCAAGTATTATCTCTGTGCATGACCTTTGTTTTCTTTCCTCTGTCATTCCTATTGAAAATGTGTTGGAACTTGACATTCTTTCCTGCTTGTCTCTTAACCTTTTGTATTTTTTGTCTTTGTGCTCCATTCTGAGTGATTTCCTCAGATCTACATTTCAATTCACCGATTTTCTTCAGTTGTGTTTTATCTGTTTCAAATCTGTATGCTTTTACACACCAGTCATGCTTTTTTCTTATCTTTTAATTTATTTTTAAAATTTATTAATTTTCAGCAGTTTGTATATTATTATTATTATTGGAACTTCTTGGGGTACTACTGCTCTATTTCTGTTCATTCTTAAAGTGGGTTTTTCAAAGATATGTAATGAATTTTGTATCTTTGGCTTGAAAGCTCATGTCTATTTAAGCTTTATCCATGAGAATTTTGCTGCTGCCTCAATTGAGGGAGTACATATTCTAAGAGGCTGTTTGCTTTTGTTAATATCCAGTGTTGTTGCAGATTTAAGATTATTTTTTATGTTTATTGTTGTGCTTCAAGCATCTTTGTACTTCTCTGTAGTAAAAATTTAAATACCAAATCCAGTTAAAGGTAGCCTGTAGTTAACAAATTTTTATTTTAAAATTATTATTATTATTATTATTTTGAAACAGAGCCTCTGTCTGTCACCCAGGCTACAGTACAGTGGTGCAGTCAGAGCTCACTGCATCCTCAAACTCTTGGGCTCAACCAGTCCTCCTGCCTTAGACTCTCAGGTAGCTAGGACTACAGGCATGCACCACTATGCCAGACTAATTTTAAAAAAATATTTTGTGGGCCGGGCGCGGTGGCTCAAGCTTGTAATCCCAGCACTTTGGGAGGCCGAGGCGGGTGGATCACGAGGTCGAGAGGTCGAGACCATCCTGGTCAACATGGTGAAACCCCGTCTCTACTATAAATACAAAAAATTAGCTGGGCATGGTGGCACGTGCCTGTAATCCCAGCTACTCAGGAGGCTGAGGCAGGAGAATTGCCTGAACCCAGGAGGCAGAGGTTGCGGTAAGCCGAGATCGCGCCATTGCACTCCAGCCTGGGTAACAAGAGCGAAACTCCGTCTCAAAAAAAAAAAAAATATTTTGTGGAGATGAGATCTCACTATGTTGCCCAGGCTAGTCTCAAACTCCTGGCCTCAAGCGATCCCCCTGCCTCAGCCTCTCAAAGCACTGTGATTATAGCTATAAGCCACTATGCCCAGTTCAAATTCTTATGAAAGAGTTTTTCTTTTTTTCTCCTTGACCACCCAGAGCCTACATTACTACACACGCACTTGTTTGTTGTCTCCCTTTTCACTGAAATTGTAGACCTTTGAGTAGCATTAGATAGAAATGGAGGAGTGGAGAGGTGTGAGGCCTTGTATTATGTCTTTGAAGTAGCATTAAATCGCAAGCCCCTATGTCACTGAAACAGGAAATCCTCCAAGGGCAGATACAGTACCCACTCTTATAAACACTGCTTTGCTTTTAATTTCTTGTTTTTGGTCCCTAGAGGAAATCCTTTATTTTTCTTCCAATTCAGAAATACATTTTTTAAAAGTTTGTTAGATGTAACTGAGCAATTCTAGGGGCTTAAAGCAAAAAATATTTTTTCGTGTGAGTCCAGCAATTTTATGAAATCATGTCTTGGTGTTGGTTATTCTGGGTCAGCATTCTTAAATGCGGTTGGCTTTAACGGACTGTCATTTGGGAAGCACGTACACTTAGCCTTCCAGTATGGGGGTCTCAGGGTACCTGGATATATTACATAGTAGCTTAGGGCTCTCCAAGAGAATGTTCCAGCAATCAAGGGAGGGGCTGCATGGTCTTTTATGACCTTATCCTGGAAGTCATTGTCACTTTTGCTAATGCTTTCTTCATCAAAGCGGTCACAAGCCTGCCCCAATTCAGTAAGAAGTGATACTCGTCCCAACTTTCGATGAGAGAGTGACAAAGAATGTGTGCTTAAAATCACCATCACCTTTGTCTAAGCCAGGTGTTGTAGTGAGTCCCTGTAGTTCCTGCTACTGAGAGGCTGAGACAGGAGGATCACTTGAGCCCAGGAGTTCAAGACCAGCTTGGGCAACATAATAAGATCTCATCTTAAAAAAAAAAAAAAAAAAAAATCACGTTGGCCAGGTAGAGTGGGTCACGCTGTAATCACAGCACTTTGGGAGGCCAAGGAGGCTGGTGGGTCACCTGAGCTTAGAAGTTCGAGACCAACCTGGGTAACATGGCAAAACCGTGTCTTGACTAAAAAAAAATACAATACAAAAATTAGCTGGACATGGTGGCTCACGCCTGTGATCTCAGCTACTTAGGAGACTGAGGCAGGAGAATCACTTGAGCCTGGGAGGCAGAGGTTGCAGTTAGCCGAGATTACCCCACTGTACTCCAGTCTGGACAACAGAACAAGGCTCTGTCTCCAATACAAAACGAATCACCATAGTAATTGTCCTAAAATTTGCCCAGCATTAAATTTAATTAAGTTGTTGAACTTGCACTTCAGATTTGAATTCATAGTTGGTATTTGGTAAGGTTATTATTAAGATTTCCATAGCGTAACTTGATTTTTTTTTTTTTTTTTTTTTAGGAGTAAACCTTGTTAGAATTGGGGAGGATTATTACTATTAGTAGCCCAAGTATAGTAACAAGTACTAAGGTGACTTTGTAAAATATGTACACTTTATAGTTGCATATATATTTGTAAAATACGTGTAAAATACGTAATGACATTTGTTTACACATGAAAATTCCAAGTAAAATCTGAAATATTTCTCATTAAAAATGTGAAGAAATATGAGGCAGTGGCATTATTTTTGCAGTGATTTTAAACTGTATTCTGTAGTTAGATTTGTGTAAGTTTGAACCAACTTGACAGTGCGTTGACTTTGTTTTCATAGTACATGAATTAAAATGTGCTAAAATGTGCATGGGCATATCATATAATAAGCAAATTATTCAGAATAGAGCATTTTAATATTGTATATCTAATCTGCCTTCTAATAGTTTTAATGATTTTTTTAAAGAAATCAAGAAGATGGTTTTATTTGAAAGAATTTCAAAATTTTTGAAATGCAGTTTTAATCTTAAAATGTTAGATATATTTTTGTTTCTTTGATATTTAGTTTTGTTTACAGCAAGAAAACCCTACTTGGGAATCTTCACTTATGATCCTACTCAATGTAAATAAACGGCCATGTAGAATTACCAGCCACAGAAAAACTTGCCATAAGTAGCATCTTTTACAATGTTTAGTTTTAGAGCTTACCTAATTCAGCCAAAATGTTTTAAAATACAGCAAAACAATATAACTTCTACAAATTAAAAATCATAGTGATGTTTATTTAAAATTTTTATTTACAGGTAAGTTTTTGGGTCGTTAGAGAAATTCTTCATGCTCAAACATTAAAAATTAGAGCTGAAGTTTTGAGCCACTATATTAAAACTGCTAAGGTAAGAAAAACTTGTGTTTTTATTTTTGTGTTCAACCACTCATAAATGTTTGCAAGTGAATAAATATTTGTAATGTTTTCTTTAGTGTTCATTGATACTGGAAAATTAAGGCTCATTGATTAATATAAGTCAGTTTTTAAAATTGGATGCCTACATTCTCTGTCTTTTCCTTTAGTCTTCCTGTTTTCCTACCCTTTCTTTTATATTCTTCACCTCACTCTCTGAGTAGTGAATTATGTGATCTGTTTCACTGAATAAGTAAACAAAGGTTAGATTATGGTAAAGTATGATATTTATAAAATTTTGGACTATTCTGCAGGTGATGAAGAAAGCCATGAAAGATTAAGTAGGAGAATACTAGTTCACTTCTGAAGTGAAACATGTGAAAACTTTATTTTTAAGAGAATAGTGTATGTGATGTTACCATATTATTAACCAAGCAATTATTGTGTGGCATAGATAATAAATAGAGCAAAAGAAATGGAGCATGGATTTCAAAAGTAATTGGAAATTAGAGAGAGAGATGAGACATGCTGTTCACAAGAGGATACCAAGATTTTGTTAAAAGTTGTAACAACTCTGAATTTAGCTGTAGGGGCAGAAAGGGAATGAGCCTTTCCCTCTCTATCATGAAGGCTTAGGGCCAGCAGCCCTATAACAAAAGACAGGTTAATGAGAGAAAAGCATAGCAGATATATTACATGTGCATAGAAGTCATACAAAGTGCGAACTCAAAGCAGGGCCAAATGGTTGATGCTTCAATATCCTCTTCACTGGGGAGAGGGGAGTTTTGGGGGAAGGGATGCATAGGAGTAAGTGACTTACAGGGAAAATGAATGAGCCCAGGGAACAAAGGCCTGAGACCAAGTTTCTCTGAGCTCTGGGGAAGGTGGCATCACAGGTTATGAGTGAGTGAACGGAGGAAACCATGTTAAGCAAAGACAGATACCTCAAGGAAATATCTCAGATAATCTCAGAGCTACCCTCAGAAAGGATAGTTGGGGTAGCCTGTGGTTAAGTTAATTGTTCCTGGATCTGGACAAGGGAGAGGATACTCAAGAGAAAGCCTAGCTGTTCATTTCACCAGTGTAGATTTTCTCTACAGGTGCGAATCTCCTCCACAAAAGGCAGCTTTTCAGGGCTATTTCTGTCTGTAGGCCCTCTGAATAGCCATCTCAAAATATGTCAAAGAAGTATACTTTAGGATGATATATTTTTGGTTTCTTTTAATGTTAAGTTCACTAAGAAGTATGGTAATTGTAGCCACGTTCATTCATTACTCTTGTCATAAATATAAAACTTAGCTTACCTGTAAATGAAAGAAGGTAGAATAAAATGAGAGTATCATGTTTACAATTATTGTAAGTCATAACTCTTCCATATTTTCCTTAAGAACATGGGAGCAATTGTATTCTAACATTCTATGGCACTAGGTGGCAGAGCTAGCCTTCTACAAATTTGATATTTTGCAAAAGCATCAAAATATTTTAAAAATTTTTTGTGGTGATGTGTTAGATATATGTATATATTTTTTGAGATGGAGTTGTACTCTGTGGCCCAGGCTGGAGTGCAGTGGTGTGATCTTGGCTCACTGCAACATCCATCTCCTGGGTTCAAGCGATTCTTACATCTCAGCTCCCCAAGTAGCTGGGACTACAGGTGCACACTACCACCCCCAGCTAATTTTCATATTTTTAGTAGAGATGGGGTTTCACCATGTTGGCCAGGCTGATCTCAAACGCCTGACCTCAGGTGATTTGCCTGCCTCGGCCTCTCAAAGTGCTGGGATTACAGGTGTGAGCCACTGCGCCTGGCCAATTCTGGTTTTTAACTAATAAAATTAATGATTCTTCTCCATGAATTCTACATTATTATTTTCTGATACTTTTAAGTATGTTCCACTCAAAACCACCAAATTTTGCTCAAACCTTCCACTGTCTTCATCAAGCAGTCATTTAATTTCAGTTCAGACTTTGAATTATTTTTGACAGCACTTACCTTCATACGAAGCTCTAAACCCATAATTGTTTTTTTCTTATTTTTGTCTCTTAAACTCTTCTATTCTGACCCTCTTCCTACTATATTGTTTGTTATAAAACTAACAGGTCTCTTACTTGAGTATTGTATCAGTTGGCATTCTCCAGCGAGATAGAACCATAGTATTCTGTATATACGTTTATAAAGAGATCTAAATATAAAATGTATAAATAGATTTTAGGAATTGACTTATACCATTGAAGGGGGCTGGTAAGTATGAAATCTGTAGGGCAGGCCAACAGGCTGGAAACTCAGGAACTTAGGCAGTGTTCTTGAGGCAGCATTTCTTTTCCAGGAAACCCCAGTTTTCAGTATTAAGGCCTTTCAGCTGAGCAGATGAAGTCCACACATTATCAAGTGGAATCCCTTAAAGTCCACTGATTATAGATGTTAACCACATCTATAAAATATCTTCATGATAACACCTAGATTAGGGTTTGATTAACTGAATCAAGTTGATAGTCTAGCCAAGTTGATACATAAAACTTACTATCACATAGATACAAAAGAATATAAGAATATTTAAAGTAGCAAAAGAATCATAATGTGGATAACCATGCATGCACCCACTTAGCACTGGGAATTTTCATATGCCTCTTCATATGCCACCTCCTTCCCTTCTACTACACTGGGAACTACTGCCTTGAATTTTATGTTTGCTTTTCTTTTACAGCTTATATGTTTCTGAATAATACATTGTTGCCAATGTATGCTTTTGGATTTTGTTTAAATTGAATTATTTCATATTTACTTTTATACTTTTATAACTAGGCATTGTTACTTAATGGTTTTAGGAGTAGCTCTGTTATAGAGCATCCTATTTGCATATATCACAAATTATTCAATGTGGATTATTTCAAGATTTTTGCTATTATAAGCCCTGCTGTCTTGAGCATTCTTGTGAGTCTCTTGGTATTTATGTGGAGGTTGAAGCCCTAGAAATACAGAGTTCATACTAGCAGTGAAATTGCTGAGTCTCTCTCTCTCTCTCTTTTTTTTTAAGACAGGATTTTGTTTTGTCACTCATGCTGAAAGCCAGGGGTACAAACCCTAACTCACTGCATCCTCGATCTCCTGGGCCCAAGCAGTCTTCTCACCTCAGCCTACTGAGTAGTTGGGATTAGCCACCACCCCTGGCTAATTTCCTTTTTTTTTTTTAAAAGACAAGGTCTCACTGTGTTACCCAGGCTGGTGTTGAACTCCTGTGCTCAAGTGATCCTCCCACGTTGGCCTCCCAAAGTGCTGGGATTACAAGTATGAGCCACTATACCCGTCCCCTCATCATTTTTACTTTGTTATAGGTAACCTCCAAACTGGTTATATTGATATACTCTCACTAGCAATTTATGAAGAAGCCTGTTGCTCCACATGCATGTCACCACCTGATACTGTCAAAATGTTTCATTATTGCCAATTCTGGTGGATGTGAAATGTATCTCATTTTAGTTTTAATAGCCTTTCATTGAATCTAAAAGGAGTGAACATCTCTTCTATATTGGCCATTTAGGTTTTCTCTCTCGAAAGGTCTGTTTAAGATCATTCAGCAGTTTCCTATTTTGGCATTGGTCTTTTATTGATTTTTTTTTTTTTTGAGATGGAGGCTCACTGTCGTCCAGGCTGTAGTACAGTGGCGCGATCGTTCACTGCAGCCTCCGCCTGCTGGGTTCATGCAATTCTCCTGCCTCAGCCTCCCAGGTAGCTGGCATTACAGGTTCACACCACCATGCCTGGCTAATTTTTGTATTTTTTTTTAGTAGGATGGGGTTTCAACACTCTGGCCAGGCTAGTCTCAAATTCCTGACCCCAGGTGATCTGCCCGCCTTGGCCTTCCAAAGTGCTAGAATTATAGGGGTGAGCCACCACGCCTGGTAGTCATTCGTTGATTTTTATGAGTTCTTTATATGACTCTAGATGCTAGTTTGCATAAGCTCTGTATGTATATTTCTGTTTGTGGCTGGTCTTGTCACTTTTTTCATACCATTTTCTGATTTACATGTTCTTAATTTTAGTAGTCAGAGTCACTGATCTTTAATTTCTTTCTCGGTCTGTTCTGGCTGCTGTAACAAAAATACCATAAACTAGGTGGCTTATAAAAACAAACATTTAGACCAGGCACGGTGGCTCATGCCTGTAATTCCAGCACTTTGGGAGGCCAAGGCGGGCAGATCACCTGAGATCGGGAGTTTAAGTAAAGTACCATCTCTACTAAAAATATAAAAAATTAGCTGGACATAATGGCGCATGCTTGTAATCCCAGCTACTTGGGAGGCTGAGGCAGGGGAATCTCTTAAACCTGGGAGACGGAGGTTGCAGTGAGCTGAGATTATGCCATTTCACTGCAGCCTGGGCAACAAGAAGGAAACTTCATTTCATTAAAAAAAAAAAAAAAAAAAAAAAATTCTAGAGAACTGTGAGGATTAAAAAAAAAAAAATTCTAGAGAACTGTGAGGATTAAATTTAATATCAAGATGTCAGCAGATTCATTGTCTGGTAAGGGCCCATTTCTCATAAGGCCCTTCTTGTTGCAAGAGTTCCTTTAAGCACTTTCCCAAACAACATACCCTCCATACTGCCGTGCCAACACACCCACTGCTACAATTCTGTAGATAAAGGCTGTTCTGGGAATTTATGTAAGTGGGATCCTACAGAAAGCTGTTGCTTGTGGCTGGGTTCTCTTGCTTACCATGTTGTTGAGATTCATCCACTTTGCATGTTTTCGGTAATTCTTTTATTGTTAAGCAGATTTCCAATGTATGGATATTCCACAGTGTTTTTTTTTTTATCATTTTCTTATTAATGCACAATTTGTTTTACCTTTGGCTTTTATGAATAAAGCTATTATGAACATTTTTGTGAAATATGCGTTCTTTTTTCTTGATTATACCTAGGAATGGTGGACCTGCTGGGTTATAGATTAGGAATATGTTTTAACTTCATTAGAAACTGCCAAATATTCTTGTTTTCCAACATAACCCTGTTGGTTTTACCACTTTAAATTTCAGTCAGCAATAAGAGTCTTCTAGTTACTCCACACATCTTGCCAGTACTTGATGTTTAATTTTTTTTTTTAATTTTTGCCGTTCGTTTGGGTGTGTAGTTGTATCTTATTGTGGTTTTAATTTGTATTTCTTTAATGATAGTGATGGTTGAGTATCTTTTCATATGTACGTGGATCATTTGGATATTTTGTTTTGTGATATTATCCTTTCAAATCTTTTGCCCATATTTTTAATAGGATTGTTTTTCTTACCAAGTTGTAGGGATTTTTTCAAGTATTCTGAATACAAACACTTTTCAGAAATACATATTTTTTTCCCAAGTCTGTGGCTTGCCTTTTTATTTTCTTAATGTTGTCTTTTGTTTAGTGAACAGAAGTGTTCAATTTTGATGAAGCCCAATTTGTTATTTTTATCTTTGTGGTGTTTTTTGTGTTATGTTTAATAAATCTTTGCCTAATCTACGGTCATAAAGACATTTTTCTTTGATCACTCCTAAGAGTATTATAGTTTGAAGTGATCCATCCTGAATTAATTTTTTTTTTTTTTTTTGAAATGGAGTTTATCTCTTGTCAGCCAGGCTGGAGTGCAGTGATGCAGTCTCAGCTCACTGCAACCTCTGCCTCCTGGGTTCCTCCTATAGTTATTGTCCTGCCTCAGCCTCCAAGTAGCTGGGATTAACAGATGTGCATTACCACGCCCAGTTAATTTTTGTATTTTTGGTAGAGATGGGGTTCCACCGTATTGGCCAGGCTGGTCTCGATCTCTTGACCTCAGGCGATCCGCACACCATAGCCTCCCAAAGTGCTAGGATTACAGGCGTGAGCCACCTCATCTGACCAAATTAATTTTTGTGTATGGTGGAAGGTGTAGGAGTCGAGGTTCGTTTTTTTTCCCTCATAAGAATATCTAGGCTGGGCGCAGATTACAGCTCACACCTGTAATCCCAGCACTTTGAAAGGCCAAGGCAGGTGAATCACCTGACATCAGGAGTTCAAGACCAGCCTGGCCAACATGGTGAAACCCATCTTTACTAAAAAATACAAAAATTAGCTGGATGTGATGGCACAGTCCTGTAATCTCAGCTACTTGGGAGGCAGAGGCAGGAGAACCGGGAGGTGGAGGTTGTGGTAAGCTGAGATTGTGCCATTGTGCTCCAGCCTGGGTGACAGAACGAGACTCCATCTCCAAAAAAAAAAAAAAAAAAGGGAAATAAAAAGAAAAAGAGTATCTAATTGTTCTATCCATTCCTTTCTCTGTTTAACTGCTTTGACATTTTGGTTGAAAATTACTTGGTCAAATATGTATGTGTAGATATAGTTCTGTTCCATTGATTTATTTGTCTCTTCTTATTCCAGTATCTCTTTGTCTTAATTACTATAGCTTTACAGTAAGCTTTGAAATCTGATAGTGTTCTAATGTTTTTTTCTTCTCCAAGATTGTCTTGGCTGTGCTATCTCCATTTTATGTCTATAGAAATTTTAGAATTAGCTTGTCAATTTCTGTAACATGGCCTGCTTGCATTTCTGATTGAGGTTTTATTGAATTTATAGATCACTTTGGGAAGAAGTGATGACAATATTAAGACTTTAAATCCGTAAACATGGTATATCTCTGTTTAAGTTTTCTTTAATTTCTCCCAACAGTGCTTTATTTTCAGTGAAGCACTCTTGCATATCTTTATTTCTCGATGGCCAGTGTTCTGATGTTAGTGTAAATGTTTTTCCATCTCATTTTCTAATTGTTTGGTGCTATATATGCAATCATGTAATCTGAAAATAAAAGCAGATTTCACTTCTTCCTTTCTGACTTTTCTACTTTTAAACATTGTATTTAAAAGAATGGTAGAGACTGGAGTAAAGATTCTCTTCTCCCAGGGTGCTTAAGACCAATCCTCTGTGAGGGAACGAGAACGAGAAGCTGATTTTTCTAGCCAGGAATATAATCCTAGTACTCTGGGAGGCCAAGGCGAGCAGATCACCTGAGGTCAGGAGTTCGAGACCAGCCTGGCCAACATAGTGAAACCCTGTATCTACTAAAAATACAAAAACTAGCCAGGTGAGGTGGTACACACCTGTAGTCCCAGCTGCTCAGGAGGCTGAGGCAGGAGAATTGCTTAAACCCGGAGGTGGAGGTTGCAGTGAGCCAAGATCAGGACACTGCACTCCAACCTGGGCAACAGACCACGTCTCAAAAAAAAAAAAAAACAAAACAAAAAAAACCGAAGCTAATTTTTCTGATCCAATTAGGAATTGAGGTGGATAGGATTGAGTTTCAGCTTTAGTTACTTTCAAATCACCTCTGGTTACAAATGACTCAGGGCAAAATCTGTACCTTGTATGGTATAGGCCGCTTCCTCTAGCAGGACCCTGTTATCTCAGTCCCAGAGATCCCTCTCTGCTTTCTAACCCAGCCGTCAGCCTCCAGCACTGACACACAGTAAAGAAAGTTCTATTAGGAGTGAATCAGTGGACACAAGAACCAACTTTAGGTTTGAGACTCCTGCAGATTCTAGTCTGTTGTATCAGCCCACAGGGTTGTAAAAACACTGGTTTCTTCTTACTTTAGCAAAATCTGGCCATTGGAGGCTTCATCTTTGCCTAGGCTTGTAGAGATTAATCATATGCCCTCAGGGGGAAAAACTGTTTAAAGGCTAGGTTTTTTGTGTGTGTGTGTGTTTTTTTTAATGGTGGAATTTATTTGTGTCCACAACTCTCCAGTGTCTTTAATAAAATGGTTTTCTTTCTAAGTTTATCTGTTTTGTTTTCTTGCTGTTATGGCTAGAACAATGATTTCTCATGCTGTTCTACATCTTAGGCAGAAGCTACGAGTTCAGCATGAGGTTTTTGTCGTTTCTATTTGTTTATTCTTTCTTTTCTTTTTTTTTTTTTTTTTTGAGACAGGGTCTTGCTGTATGGCCCAGGCTGTATAGCAGTGGCGCAATCATGGCTCACCACAACCTCTGTCTCCTGGTCTCAAGCAGTCCTCCCATCTCCCAGCCTCCCAAGTAGCTGGGACTACAGGCACATGCCACCGCGCCTGGTTAATTTTTTTTTTTTTTTTTTTTTTTTGTGGAGACAAGGTTTTATAGTACTATGTTGCCCAGGCTGGTCTTGAACTCCTGAGCTCACACAGTCCACCAACCTCAGCCTCCCAAAGTGCTAGGATTATAGGTGTGAGTCACCACAGTCAGCCTTTGTTTATTCTTACTATGAAGTAGTTATTTGGGCTACAAACTTTCATAATACCCCTTCCTTCTTCCATTAGCACCGTGGTTCAAAACAGGCATTGTTGCCTTGCAGTCTCTTGATGGTGGATGAGGATTACTTCTATCTTGCTCTTACACTCAGGCTATGAGTCCTTCAGTGTCTCTGCTTTATGCGATGAGGGTCTCTTATTGGAACCCCCACCATAGATAGACAAAGTTAGGGGCTGATTAGTCTGTACATTTATAGAACCCTATATATAATTTTATTCTAGAATTATGCAAATATGATTTGTATTTGGTTGTTTTCATGTCTGTCTCACTAGACTGAAGCTTCTTGACAGGTTTTTTTCATTTTTGTATATGCAGTCTAATACGGTGCCTAGTATAATAAATGCTTGAAATACATTTGTCAAATGGTTTCCCAATTAGATTATATAACCTTGTGTAAAGGTTTATATTATGTTTTGTGTTACTGATTTATTTTGTTTTTATCTGTTTTCTTTGGGTTTTCAATTAAATGTTCTATCCGTAGCATTTTCTAGACCTGGGGCTTACCTGGGAGCAGGATTAGGACAGTTGTAAAATGACTGGTTTTTAGACAGGACTTGTGGGATGTAAGCATCAGGTAGTATTAAAAAATCTGGGAAATTAGCGGTAAATGTCATGCAGATCTCATAGCAAATTGCTGGAAACTAGTGTTAGGAGTTTTTTGCATGCAGACTGTAAAATCAGTGTCTCAGCATCAATGAAAAAAAAAGATCTGGGGATTTAGGTAGGAGGAAGCAGAAAATTGAGGAAGACTGTGAAGGGCAGGTTTCTCCCTTGCCCTGGAATAATGGGAGTACTGAATAGGAAACCAAATAAGAATCCTGGATGTTGAACCTTTCTTGAAACTTGAAACATAAAGCAGAGGCTTAGTAACAAGGGAGACCTTACTAGAAACCAGCTTTCATGATCTTACCGTGTAAACTTAATGTGAGACATAACCTTGGTTTTCTTAACATGTTACTCAACTAGAGGTAGATTTATTCCCAGAGTTTGGAGACAATGCCAGGGTAGAAAATTTAAGTTCTGTTGTGCATCAGAAGAACTTCGTGTAAACAATGTGGGTAGTCGAAAGACAAATCTCAATAATGAAGGTAATATATACTGGAACGCTGTATCAGTTGCCAAGATTGTACTTGTTAGTCTAAATTTTTTCTTACATTCATGTTTCTTTTTCATCCCTCTCCCCCATTTTTTTTTTTAATCTTCAGAAACTATATGAGCTGAATAACCTTCATGCACTTATGGCAGTGGTTTCTGGCTTACAGAGTGCCCCAATTTTCAGGTTGACTAAAACATGGGCGGTGAGTAATTTTCTTTAATGAAACGTTTGACTTCCTGTGGGAAGGAAAGCTGTATTCATTTCCTTTATAATTATCATTATGGTTAATATAATGATAATAGATAAGGATTTTTAAATGGCTTTCTACTCTGTTCTTTGATACCTATATTTTTTTCTCCTTAAGCAATACACTGGTATAAGGTAATTTTGGGGTACAGTTTGGTGCTTGGTTTTTGCTCTTCAGAGAATCATTTTTGTTGAAACACTTTCAGTATCTTTGACAACATAGTGTTTAATACTCAGCTGATGGGAAGGTATGAATACAGAAAAATGCATTTAATCGTGAAGATTATGCTTTTGAAAAGTTTGAGGAGTATCTAAATCGTAAGTTTCAAAAAAAAATTTACTGATTACAATTTTCATTATTTTTTAATGAGTAAACCTTAGATTTTTTTCCTTAGGAACAATGGAAAACCTGATGATTAACATGGAATTATTTGCTGTTGCCGCACATGCTGATGTTGTTACTTTAATCATGTTTGGTTCTATTACTTATGTAAGATCAGAGTATGAATTCTGACCTCTGTAAATGTGTGTATTTTCTTAGTTGAGTGACATATTACTGTACTCAATCTTTTCAGGTATTTTTCACTTAGATTTTTTGTAAGTAAAAGTTTACATTCAATTAAGTTTATTTATATTCAATACTATTTAATGTTAAAGATCAATAATTTTGTTTAGAATCTATTACATTTTGTACAAAGGATCAATGTGTTTCTAAGGTTCTATGGTAAAATCATGAAACCTTTTAAAACATTTTTTATTACTAAAATATAAATGTTTTTAATTAAAGTGCTGCTTTTGCTTTTTATGGTATCTGAAGAGACAGATGTTTCTCATGAAAACCTGTATAGATTTCTATTTTGGAAAAACATTAGTGTGGAAAAACTTATGATCCTTTTTAAATTTCTTATTTTCTTTTTTTTAATGGAACCACCTGGGTGTGAAGGGTTTTCTGTAAAAATTCTTTTAAATAATTATGGCCTTATTGTCTTTTCTTAAAATTTGAATTTCATGGAGGAATGGAAATGATTATAAATATACAGTTATGAATTCTGTCTTTAAAGTTTCAGGGAAAAGAATTAGAACAGTTATGAATTCTATCTTTAAAGTTTCAGGGAAAAGAATTGTACTCTAATCATGAAAAAAATTATTTTTATTTTTTGAGCTCAGGCTGGAGTGTAGTAGCACGATCATAGCTTACTGCAGCCTCTAACTCCTGTGCTCAGAGGATCCTCCAACCTCAGCCTCCCAAGTAACTGGACTGCAGGCACATGCCACCATGCCCAACTAATTTTTAACAAAGTTTTTGTAGTGATTGTTTTCCAAGCTGTTTTCAAACACCTGATCTCAAGCAATCCTCCCACCTTAGCCTCGCAAAGTATTGGGATTACAGGCATGAACCATTACACCCAGTCCTATGCTCTTATTCATGATTTGGTTTATTAATGAGATACATTTGCCTGAAGTTAGTTTTTGTTTTCCTTGAAGATATTTTCATTGTCTCCCTTATGTATTTGCATGGACAATAATTTTTATTTGGTAACAGCTCCATTATTTATCTGAATAAAACTTTTGATGGTTTGTATTACATTTTAAAATATGTCATACTGCGCTATGTACTCTGTAATTGCTTGACATACAGTAGTGAATGGTCTAGACAAAGTTCCTTTCTCATACAGCTAACATTCTGCTGGGGAAAAAGAGACTGCAAATAAATAAATGACATATATATAGTGATAAATGCTCTGAAGAAAAATAGAAAGGCAGGCAGGACAGTACTGTGTTATGTATCATGTAAGAGAATCTAATATTCAGTAGAGACCTGAAGGAATTGAGGGAACCATTATTTGGATAGCTGGGAGAAGATAATTCCAAGTAGAGGTAATAGCAAGTAGAAAGACTCAGTAACGTTCAAATAGCAGAGTGGTCAGTGTTGACAGTAGAATAAGCTAGCAAGGTGCCTGGTGGTAGGAGGTGATTTCAAAGAGATGGCATGAATCAGATAATGAAGGTGCTGTTTACTCATATTCAGAGAGGTATAGAGACCATTGTGGGCTGGGGTTCTATTTTGCACATACTGTGTTTGAGTTGGATAGTAAACATCCATGTGAACTGTAATGTCAGAATTAGATACATAAGTTTAAGAGAGTGGTTGGGGCTAGAGAGAGATTTTTATGATCATCACCGTAAAGTATTTGAAGCTAGATGGGATCACCTAAGGAGGGAGCATAGATGAAAAGCCCTGGAAACCTCCAGGATTCCCTAGTAGAGATTGGAAAGATGAGAAATCAACAAAGGAAATTATAGGTAGGGCACAATTTTTCACAGTGAAGTAAAGGAAATATTCCAAGAAAGATTCATCACTTTTGTCAAATGCTACTGATAATTTGAATAAGGTGCAAAGTTTTAGATGGCCTGACAATTGGAAAGGATTGGTGACCTCAGGAAGAGCGATTTCAATAGAGAGGTGGGGTGAAAAACTGACTGGAATTGAGAAAATGGTGATGAAGAAGTGGGACAGCAAGTATAGAGAATGCTTTTGAGGAATTTTACCGTCAGGGGCTACAGCGTGGTGTTGCAGAGAAATATGGTACCTGGAAGGGAATGTGAGACCAAAGATTTCTGGTATTTTGTTTTGTTTTAGAAATGGCATCAATGGCAATATGTTTTATGCTGATGACAATAATCTAGTAGAATGAAAAAAATGACAAGAGAATGAGGGATTACACCAGTGATATGCTTGCTTAGATGAAAGGGAATTAGATATAGTCTATTGTATCAGTAAGAGTTTATCCATTTTAACAGCTGGGAAAGGGAATGCATTTAGTTACAGATACAGGGAAGTTGGTAGATTTGGTGGTGGGATTCTTAGAAGTTTTTCTGATTGTTTTGTTTCCTCAGACACAAAAAAGCAAGGTCTTTAGTTGAGAGTGATATGGGAGAGGTGTTGGAGGTTTGCAGAAAGAGGAGAGGATATGAAGGTCACCTGGAGAGTGTGAGAGTACATTAACTAAGAAAACGTACTAGGTTTGATAGACCTTATGAAGGATCCGTCTGCTTCAGACTTTTTTTTTTTTTATCATGCATGAAAAGTAAAACCAGTCAGCAGAGTTATGTATTTTCCAGCCAGGTTCAGATATTCAGCCTAAGTTTTCAATAGTGCCAAGGGTTACATTTAACCAGAGTTGGGATTTTTCGAGGCTTTTGTACCAGAGGGGTTAAGGGTAGCACAAGAGGTGAAAGAGGAAAAATATAAGAGTTGTTTTATTGACAGATGAGGAAACTAAATCAAGCAAAAGGAGGGAAATAATGAACAGTGAAAAGGTATTCTGGTCACTGGATTGGAAGCCACGGTGGAGTCAAATAATCACTGGATTCAGAATGAGAAAGGGAGTGCAAGCTGAGGGTGATAGAAGATAAGATGATTGGAGCAGGAGGTCAAGAAACTGAGAAACCAGAGTATTGGGAGTGTTATCCCCATGAAGGTGGCAATCACCAAGATTTATGACAAGAATAATTTTGGTTCATGAATTTTTTTCTCTCCCACTACTAAAATCTTCAAGATACAGGGGAAGAGTGACTTGTAGATCTGTAAATGACAGTTGTAATCTAGGGTTCTCTTGTTTAATATGGTAGCCATTAGCTGCATGTGGCTATTAAATTTAAATCATTAAAATTAAATAAAATTAAAAATGTAGTTCTTTGATCATACTAGCCACATTGCAAGTGCTCAGTAGTAACATGTGGCTAGTGGCTATCATATTGGACTGCACAGGCATAGATTTTCACCATCACAAAATTCTACCGGACAACACTGATCCTAGTACTTTCAATTTAATAGAGGCTAGAGGATTTTAGGGAGCAGAGTGAGATAATGAGCTGGAAGAAGTTGTGAAGAGCAAGGAGCAAAGATTACACCTGACCTACCTCCAGGCATATGTTACAAAGAAGAAGTTGTGAAGAGCAAGGAGCAAAGATTACACCTGACCTACCTCCAGGCATATGTTACAAGGTTTGTAAGAAAAGAAAGGGAATACTTGGAGAAAAGATTAAGGATAGGAGTTGTGCAGAGAATGGACCATGAGTTCAAGAGGATACAGTTAGAAAGGTTTGCGATGGTTTTGTTTTGTTTTTAACTGATAAAGGGAAGGTACCAAAAAGACTACAACATTCTTCATAGGGAAAATAATCAGGAGCATTTTCTTTAACATGAAGGAAAAGGATACCCAATTTCACTGTTTTATTCAATAACCAATTGCTATTGTATATGTTCTAATGTTTATAACAGAATTATTCACAGTAGTCAAAAGGTAGAAACAACCCAAACATCTATCATTGGATGAATGAATAGATAAAATGTAGTATATACATATAATGGAATAGTCATCTGCCTTAAAAAGCAATGAAATTCTGAGACATGGTGTGCCATAGATAAACCTTCAGACAATATGCTAAGTGAAATAAGCCAGACAGAAAAGAACAAATACTTTGTAAGTCCTGTAATTCCAGTTATATGAGGTAGCTAGAGTAATTAAATTCATACAGACAGAATCAAGATTGGTGGTTGTCAGGGATGGGGAGAAATGGATTTGGGAGTTATTGTTTAATGGATATGGAGTTTCATTTTGAGAAGGTTAAAAAGTTTTGGATATGGATGTTGGTGATATCCTTAAAATGTACACTTAAAAATGGTTAAAATGGTTAATTTTATGTTACGTATATGTTTTACCACAGTTTTTAAAAAATAGGTTTACTTACAGTGCTTGAATATATGAACAATATACAAAATAAGTTATATTTGAAACAGTTAATAAGTATTATTTAAAAGGGCATCATTTACAATATCAACAAAAGAAAATATCAAACAATAAATGCAATAAAATTTGTAAGACATATGCAGAAATGTATAAAACTTTACAGGAAGTCATTAAAAAGGAACTAAATAGTGGGAGCAATAGC